GCGAGATCTTAGGTGTCTTCGTGGAAGGTACGTAACAGGTACGATCCGAGAACCAAGAAGTACACCTGTCAACATGGTCCCCAAGAATGCGAAATAAATCTCATCCAAGGATGCATCATCGAAAAAGGAGGCGGCGATCAACTCCAAACTTTCAATGCTGTCTATCTGGAGGAAGAGGCTATTCTCAAGCACAATACCAGTGACTGGATAATTGAATGTACGTCTCAAGTCGATACTTGCTCCTTTCTGATGATGCTATGGTCAACAGTGTCTATCCATCATTGCTAACTCATCAACACTCGAGGTTTACCACCATCTCTCACCATCTCCCACCGTTGCTGGGGAGCTGCTACTTAGCCATAGGGCTCCTCAGTGACTGATCGTGTGTCCTTCCCTCAGCCATCAGCGGTCTTCCTTCTCGAGCTGAGGTCTTAGCCTGTATTGGCAGCCCTGAGTCCCTTGACATCGTCGCTGAGTTCGCTAAGGGTGAGCTGAGCTCTTCTCCAACATAATGCAAGCCTCTAGCTCAGAAACGGAAGACCTTCAACCCCCACATAGATACACTCCATGGGTGACTATCGATGGTGTGCCCCTCAAGGGTGATTTCAAATCGGCTCTATGCGCGTCTTTAGTGAAAAGGTGAGCGTTCAGTCGCCTTCTGTCACTCTTTACTGATGCCTTCTTGCAGGGGTAAGGGTTGTCCTTCAACCCCCTGAGACAACTCCGACCCGGAAGTGCTACAGGAAGTAACACTTACGATTAATTTTCTTTCATTCAGTGGCCCAGGATATTTTCGAACAGATCGAGCCAACCAGTAACTGGTTACCAGTTGCATTGGGTAGCTGTATCCGATTTTCTAGATCGGGTTTCGAGTCGGGGAGTTTTAGACTTCCCTTCCACGGCTCGATGAGTTTCTCCCTCGTCACTAACTGATGAGGATTCGTTGTCAATTCCACGATGCGCGGTGGGAAAAAGTGTTTTCGCTTCACGTCGTCTATGAACTCTCCAAATAATTTCTGAACTCAGCTGTTTCAAAGATTCTGAGGTCTCTTGGAAGTACACGAACGTAATCATGATGATTGAATAGTCTTCAATTCAACTTGTCCAAATCTTGAAGGGCGTTGACAAGCGAATGTGTTTTCGACCTTGATGTACGGAGGGACGACTCTTCCTCTAGAGTAATATATGGAGAAGTCTCCTTCGGCAATGGAAACGGTCAAATTAGCAGCTTTCAGCGGTTGAAATTCAGCCCCACTGAAACCTGACATCGTGAGCACATAAGGGGTTCCTCTGATGCGAGCCACATCATGTGAGCCTCGAACTCGCTCAGTATCACGCTAATTCGTCGTACCATTCCAATCCGTATCCCAGACCAGGCCATCATCTGATGACGGGAATGCATTTTCCCAACTTCATAATTAGACTGCATCGTCACGGCTCACCATATCCTACGGGCTTCACCTGGATGCGCCAGACCGTCCTCAATATTGCGTTTCATACTTGAACCATAAGTTAGCATCGGTGGTACACCATTTAAGA